AAAAAAAACACTTCAAACAATAGCAGTGGCGCAGTAAATGGCCGGCAAATTAATATAGTGGGTTAAGCCCTGCCCCCGAGGTATGATTTAATTTATCTTGGCATTTATATAAAAGGCCGGGTACTGTATGCAGCATAAGTGTTACGTTAAACGCGAAATTAAATTGTTGCTTACTTTATGTGTAAGTAAACGTTTTATTTTCAATTAATTCTAAAGCAAAAAGCGCAAAAGTACAAAACTATCAAAAACAGCTTGTCTAATTTAAGTATACAGAATTGTATGTGTTCATATGATACTAAATAGCTTATCCGAATGCCTAATTGAAAACATATAAATATTTCTGTCCAAATTCAATTATAAAAGGTAATCTTAAAAAAAAATTTCAGAAAGCAATACCTTTTATCTATCAACATAGCGTTTGATCTCTCCAATATCATCACAAATCTCTCGAATTTGGTTATCTGAGTAGTGAAGGGTCAAGCTTAAAAATCACGAAAAAATTATTAGGTAAATTTAACACATAGATTACATATTTAAATTTATAGTGCATTACCTCGGTATAAAGGTCTTTGCCTCGTCTGCGTTTGCTGGTAACAAATTTAAAAGTAATGGCAATTCAAATTGATGAAGATTATATTTACTCAATGTCCTAAATTTTAGGTGTTTAGGTGTTAACTATATTATAACATTTGTTTAATCTTCACAAAAGAGAAGATTTTATTAAAAGCACCTTCGAGCATCATTTAATTGTCCTTCGTCTCGCATTTTGGTGAATTGATCTACATACTCCAAAGTTTTACTAAAAACGCTGTGTGTTAAAGAAGTAAAATAACTAATAATATAATGTATCAATATGGCACTAGATAATGAGAGGTAGAACACAAACGTTGACTTTGGAGGATTTGATCTATTCCTAACATTTTTAAGTAGAGCATTTGTTTCAGAAATGCTCAAAGCGAATTGAGTCTCAGAAATTGAATCGAGTCCTTTTTTTGAATTGATATATATATGGCGATCAAATCCAAAAAATCACACATAATATAAAATGTCAAAATAACAACCTTCGTTGAATTTTAATCTCGATGCATCTTCTTCTTCTAAAGGAATACCTTTACCAGATTTGCGAAGTGTCATTCTTGAAT